CTGTTGGGCAAGTGACTTTAAAACTGTAATGTGTTATTTATGACTTGTTTCTGTCATTTCAAAGTAATTCAATACATTACAATATTACTGTGTTTAAAATGTAAAGCATTACATGACTACTGCAGCACTTTTAAGTTACTCTCCCCAAAATAACTGTGAAGATGCTGAACGTTTGCGCCGTATATGGACTGAACCAGGACTAAACCAAAACTGAACCAGAGCTGAACCCGGACTGAACCTAGACTGAACCAGGATTGAACCAGAACTGAACCAGATTGAACTGACCTGAGAACCATGAAGCAGAGCTGAACCAGATCTGAACAACAACTGTACCTGGACTGAACCAGAACTGAACCCGGACTGAACCCGGACTGAACCAGGACTAAACTAGGTCTAAACCGAGGACTGAACCGAGGACTGAACCAGGACTAAATCAGGACTAAATTAGGTCTAAACCAAGGACTGAACCGAGGACTGAACTAGGACTAAACTAGGTCTAGACCGAGGACTGAACCCAAGGATTGAACCAGGATTAAACTAGGTCTAAACTGAGGACTGAACCGAGGACTAAACCAGGACTAAACTAGGTCTAAACCGAGGACTAAACCAGGACTAAACTAGGTCTAAACCGAGGACTGAACCAGGACTAAACTAGGACTAAACTAGGTCTAAACTGAGGACTGAACCAGGACTAAACTAGGACTAAACTAGGTCTAAACCGAGGACTGAACCAGGACTAAACTAGGTCTAAACCGAACATTCACACGGACAGTGGCTCCCTCTTTTTTGCTTCACTCGAGGAAAAAGAAAAACTCAAACACAACACTACCCACACCAGTTCATCTTTCCCACAATCAGGGAATAATTTAGCTCCATAAAATGCTTCTTTATAAAAGAAAAATAGATATTTTTCTATATTTTCTCTCTAGAAAAGTAGTTTATCAAAAATGTACAAAGTTTGTTGTCTTTAAAATGTTTTTAAAAATAAACTGTTCTGTGCCGGTCCTTTCTCTCGCGGTCACCCGACGGTCTACGCGGGCGCTTCTCTGGCGTTTCACTGCTGCTGTTATCGCGGTGATTTTAGCAAATTTGTATGAAGAAAAACTAAAAACCCACCACTTCAATCCAGGTTAAAAAAGCATTGTGATGTACTTTATTGACATTTGTACCGAGTAAAATATAAAAAAAAATGTTCCCTGTAAAGCTGAACATTACTGCGTTACTGCAAAAAGCAACGCATTACAGTAATTCGTTACTTTTATAATGCGTTACTCCCAACGCTGACTAAGTCGCTCACCGGAGGAAAAATGTTGGAGAGCCCTGATGTAGACAGACTAATGATAAAGAGTTACTCAAACATGTGTGAATGAAACAAAACAACTCCAGGTGCAGTCTGATTTTGATGAAGGAACATTATAACATGGCTTAAAGCTCACAAAAGTCAACTTTGTGTAATAAAGCTGACTCTCCTGTATAATTAATACAGTTTTCAAAACAATAAAAGGTAAAATGGTGAGCTAAATCATTGTTTCCCAAAGACTGGGTCACAATGAAAGATTTTTTTTGGTCGCCTTGTCACAATTTGTATTCTGGATCATCATTTTGTCAGAGTATCCTGTCCTAAGTAGGGACAGTATTTCTATTTTCTCATTCACTACTACTGTACATATGTGTGTGAATTGGGATTTTTTGTGTTCACAAAAAATGAAAACAAAGCTCAGAAACAGACTGATATGCATGTTGTAGTCTCCTGCTGCAGCCCGGACTGGAACATGCTACAAAAACACAGACAGTCCCACCTACCTCAACTGAAATGCTGACATGTCAAGACAAGTTTTGTATAATTTCTAATCTTTTTGTAATTATTTTATTGACTATTTTGTTCCGATATTGCTGGTTCAATTGAATGTTGAAAAGAAAAAGAAATGGGCTACACTTAATGTCCAAATAGGCGACTTATGGATTGTTCAGCGAGACACGATCACTCAGTCAACAATAAAATATCCTCATTAATGTTCAGTAATGGTCAAATCCAACTTTATTTTGTGATTTACGAATAATGTCTATTACCTTGGGTTGTGAAGGTTTGTGACTTTTAAAATCCCCAGAAAAAAAGTTTGGGAAACACTGATCTAAGTAAGTTAAGTGTAATAAAATGGAAGATACCCTCAGTGCTTTCTCTTTGCAAATGTAGCGTCATGTGACACCCACAACAGAAGCTGTCTGTATTTCCACGTAATGTTTTGGGTATTTTCCAAGCATATCCAAGGACACCTCCAAGTCACAGATAGTAGCAGCACAGACATGTCAACAATGATAAAGCAGTGAGAGGAACTGGAAAGGTTAAAGTTGTCAATGGGACCATATGTTTCTGCTCAGTATTTGTCTTGTCCTTAAGTATCTAATAAATACAATGACATTCACAAATATAATTCACAACTTACAAATAAATGTAACAACATTCACAAAAGCATTTCTCGATTCAAAAGAAAATGCGATTCACAAATGTCAGTGCAGTTACATTTATTTGCAAACCGATGAACCATTTCAAGCTTTTCAGAGGTGGGACCAAGTCTTTGTTTTGCAAGTCTCAAGTAAGGGCCTGTCCACACAACAACGTTTTTTGGTCAAAACTGAGAAGTTTTTATTCGTTTTGGACTTTCGTCCACATGGAGCCGGTGTTTTGGCGACTGTCCTTGAGCCATGTGGGTAAATAAAACTATTTTAAGGGTTATTTGTTCTCTGTTACTGTTCTTTACAAAGCTCTGTATTTTACAGTCCGCTGCAGATTTGTGACTGAGCTCTTGGAGGTGAGACATATGGCTCATGTTCAATGGTTTTACCTGCTCGCTCCCACCTGCACCACACCTCTGATGATGACTCAACCTACATCGTAAAATTCAAGAATGCCTTCCCAAAGGTTATATCCCAACGTGCAGCTGCACTCAACCACAATTGGCTCAAGATGGCTCCTGTGCTTGCTTAAGGATTTCAAGTGTTTTGCAAGGGGAGAGTGAGAAGAGGTTTGGACCAGCCTACAGGCCTTGTGGCAGCGTCAGGGTAAAGATGCTACCGAACAAGAGCCAGCAAAGAAAAACAGTTGCCTGCTCTTTTCATTGTCTTCTGACTCTGATTCAGATGAGGAAGGCCTGTGTAACAGGGCCCTGAGCAGAATCCTGTCTGTCCGAGCCCGCAAGTATTTGTTTAGCCCTCCCACTTCTGTCCCATGTGAGAGGCTGTTCTCACCTCCAGGTCACGTAGTAACAAAAAAAGAGAACAGGCTAGTTTGTGTAAACGACTGATTGAAAGAGAAGGAGAAAAATATCAATGGAGGTATTGTGTGGCAAATGTGTTTGTTGTGCACTGTTGCACTGTTGACCTAACTTTTATCCAAAAGTACACAAATTCATTTGTGCTTAGAGTATTTTCAGAGTAATTATTAGAAACTGCAGTTTATGTTTATTTATTTTTATAGATTTTTTAAAAATTGCACTACATCAAGAAGTCAAGACAAACTACATTCAGAACAGAAAAACTTAAAGTAAAATGACACTTTGACTTTAGTCTCTTTGATTCTGGACAGGGACTTTACCTTTGTCTATTATTTTTTTGAAATGCAATGCAATTTATTTCTTCAAGACAATAAAAGAGCTTGAGTTTGAGTCTGTGTGTATTATTTAATTAATTCATCCACTAAACTTCATTTACATAAAATACTTGTTGCTTTATATCTATCTATCTATATCTATATCTATATATATATATATATATATATATATATATATATATATATATATATATATATATATATATATATATATATATATATATATACTGCACAGAACTCTCAAGCTCTCAGGCCTCTTTTGACTTAGTTACTTTTATTCAACCAGCAAGTTTTTTCTTGATTGGAAATGACACAGGCGTCTCCCAGAAGATAATAAGACAATGTACAAGAAGCACCATAGTGGCAAAATATATTTCTCAGCTTTTATTTACATTTGAAGAAAAAGTAGGATGTCCAAAATTATTCATACCCTTTGTAAACTGTCACAGTCTATCAGAATATCCAAAGTTCTATATCTTTCCAAACAGCCTGAGCTGTTCTAAAGCTTCCTAATTCCCCTGATTCACTGGGAACAGTTGTTGTGCAACTCAACAGGTGAAAAACCTGTTTAGCCTTTGCAAATGTTCAACTGGACATAGAAGGTCTTCTGTTTTATGGTCAGATGAAACAAAAATTGAATTGTTTGGCCACAGTGATGTATCCTTCATTTGGCGTAAAAAAGGAGAAGCCTTCAACCCTAAGAACACCATCCCCACTGTCAAACATGATGGTGGGAACCTAATGTTTTGGGGATGTTTTTCAGACAATGGACCAGGGAATCTAACCTAATGTCTCAGTGAACAGCACCATGAACACAGAGCAATACGTCTCTCAACAACAACATCAAGCAGTCTGAAGTGGAACTTGGGCATCAAGTGGACATTTCAGCACGACAACGACCCAAAGCACACGGCGAAAGTGGTGAAGAAATGGTCATCGGACAAAAATGTTACGGTTCTGCAGTGGTAGAGTCAGAATTGAGAATCTGTGGAGGGAGCTAAAGATCAGGAAAGTCTAAAAAATCTGAAAGCACTGGAGCTCATCGCTGAAGATGAATGAGCAAAAATACCAATGGAGACATGTAAAAAAAAACTGGTCAACAATGATAGGAAGTATTTGATTGCTGTAATAGCCAATAAAGGATTTTTTATTGATTACTGAGAAGGGTATGAATAATTTTGGACATGCCACTTTTTGTACGCTTTTGTAAATCGTCTTATCTTCTGGGAGATGCCTGTGTCCTTTCCAATCAAGAAAAAAACTTGCTGGTTGAATAAAATAAAAATAACTTTAAGTCCAAATTTGCCAGGAGTATGAATATTTTTGGGCTGGACTGTATACATATTTATATATATACACACATACACAGCAGTTTAGTAAGTTTTTCTCTTACCTGTCATAGTGAATATCCCCAGTACCAGGTTAATGCTGCGGTTTCCCAGTAAAACGGACTCTAATTCTCCGGCAGATTTCTTGCGCTGGTCTCTCTTGGACTTACACGAAGCCCAGATCCCCGTGCCGAGAACCAGCAGGTAGAACAGAACCATCACCACCACTCCCAGTATGTTCACAGCCATGATGAGTCTACAAGTGTGAAAACAAGGAAAGTGTGAAGAGAAACAGTGAAGGCTGAGGATTTAAAGAGAAAGAGACAGAGGGAGGGGGAGAGGAGAAGAGTAACTGGAAGAACCAGTTCTTTTCTTCTTTTTTATTTCTTTTGTAATAATTTTTTTGCACATAAAGCAGATGTCACAAATAGCAATTAGCAGTAATATAATGTGATCATTTTCCCCTCCCCCAGACCCTCCTCCCTTTGCCCTCTCCTATTGTCTCCAGAGAAAATAAAGATAAATAAAAGAAATGGCAAAGGAGAAATTAAGAATAAAGTCTGTTTAAGTCCAAGTCTACAATGCCGGTTCTGAATATTGGCGCCGATATTGAAAATAGTGATGTATTATGTTGTGGAAAAAGTTATATAGATCTTGAAGAAAAAATTATTCATTTGCGAAGCCTGATGAGTTTTTGGAATACAGACATGCCTCCTGGGCGCGTCCTTCAGGAGGTGTTTCAGGCATGTCCCAGCAGGAGGAGACCCCAAGGAAAACCCAGGACACACTGGAGGGACTATGTCTCTGGGCTGGCCTGGGAACACCTTGGGGTCCCCCCAGAGGAACTGGAGGAACTGTCTGGAGTGAAGGAAGTTTGGGAGTCCCTGCTTAGACTGCTGCCCCCGCGACCCAGCCCCAGATAAGTGGAAGAAAATTGATGGACGGCTGTTTATACTGAAGAAAATAAAAAGATGTGGAAATAGAAAATAGATCAACACTACTTTTGTATGTGGTTTATCCACTCTGTACCTTGTGACTTTTCTGAGTAAAATCCCTTGTTGATAGATTTTTAGTGCTCACAAATATTTGTTGATGTTTGAGTCTGTACATTCAAAAAGACAGTTTGGGCCACATCCTTTAGCAGATGTGGACAGACCTGTAGAGTTGAAAAAACAATGTGAACTCACTGTTCATGTGTTTGTGCATGAGAGCTGTGTCAGTGTTGTGAGGAAGAGTCTGAGAACTGTGTCAACTCAGGAGAAATGTTCCAAATGATGTGAGAACCTGAGCCCCTGTGCAGATACAGGTTTGAACCAAAAGATCAAACTAAACCAAGTTTTAAAAAATGCGCCATGGAAAAATAAAACTGTAATGCCACAGTGTGGAACTTTCCAGACAAAGCTATAACATGTAGCTGAAGGACACTCCCCTGGAACATTTAGTGGATCTTTAAAACATGAATTTGAAACGGTTTAACTATAATTGATCTAATGATGTTGAAGATGTTTCATTTATTTATTTATTTTTATCACACTCAGCCCGAGCTCTAAATGATTTTACTTGGATCATTTTTGGCCCTGTCCCACAATTAATGTACATAAAACAACACATCTGGTGGAGGGTCATCAAATGTTTCTCTTCATGGAGTTCCTTTGTCTGAAATGTTTCACTGTATGACATTAAAGCTTTTTATCTTCATGGACACCAGACCAGGTTACAGGTCAGATCTGTGGAGAGACCCACAGTCAGAACGCCTGCTTTTCTAAGTATCTTTGCTATAAAACCACCTGTAATTAAATAAATGTAAGTGTAACCCTACGTTGGTAGCACTGTTGATAATAGCTCCAAATGTCTAAAGTGAGGGTTATCTAAATCTAGGTTCAATGAGGAGGTCGGTTGAAAATAGGTCAACTAGTTAATAAACTGATAGATTCCACCCCCAAAAGAAGCACACTACAACAGATTGGTGATTAAATCTAGAATTGATAATTATTATTCAGCTCTTTTGTCTATTCACAGTAAATTACAATAACACACAAAATATCTTTACACATTTGGCCAAACAACATCTGAGATCTCAAAATAAAATATTGTCCAATCCAAACAAAATTACCCCCTGAGTGCACTCAATTAGAAAAAATGTCCTACCGCCCCTTTAATACTCAGTGTCAGTACAATCGTTGCAGCGCTGTTAGTTGAGGAGGTGGACCAGGGAAGCAGGCACCAGGGTGAACGAAGAGAAATCCAGCGTTGGTAGAACCAGGAATAGGACCAGGAATCAGGGAGAACCAGGGCTCAGAGCCAGACCCTCTAAAAAACCAGTCTACAAAATGTACAGGAAATTACTACAACTGTCCATTTTTTTCAGATTAACTGTACACTTGTAAACACTGAACATAAACTAAAATTGGTCTTTAGCATACAAAATTAAAATTAGTTCTCCTTTTTAAAGTACAAATCATTAGATTTTCCAAAACTGAAACTTACAATTCACCCCAACTGGTTTTATCAACAATAGGGCAGTAACACAACAGAAATTGACTCACCGGGATAACATGTACTTTTTCAAAGTTTTCTTCCAGTTCCAATTCAGTTCAAATATTCACAGAACCTTTAGAATATCATTAGTTAGTTTCAGGATTTAGTTAAATTACAAAATCTACATTTATTTCGATTTTACCTCTTGTGGTCTCAGTCTATGTTTCTAAGTCTGTGCTGCTTAGCAAAATGGCCGCCAGCGGAAGCATTCCAGAAAGTTCTAAGTATTTCAGTGCACTGCCACCTAGTGGCAAAACTGGGGGTTGCAGTTAAATTCGGTTTGAAGTTAGATTTCATGTAGGGACTTTATTGGGCAAAATTAACAGGGTTACACCCTCCCCCCCTAAACCGCATGGGTCTCTGCATGCGCTCTAAACCCTACAGGGCATCTGATGTTCAGGGATAATATCTTGGAGCTTCCCAAAAAACTGACTGAGGGCAAGGATTAGAGGTTTTCCCAACTCTTCATAGGTGAACTTGGATGGAGGATGCCTTTCTCTCAGTGAACGCCTGAGCTCACTTGGTTCCTCTCCAGCATTAGTCTCTGAGGTACTTTGAGAGATTTCAAGGTAGGTACTCTGAGCATTGTCTGATCCTTGAACTGTTGTTGTGTCTGTGACCACTGAATCTTGACATATGTCACTTTCGGGAATGTCTATGATAACATGGTCACCTTGAGGTGGAGAATGGTTCACAGCTCTTGTTGTATCGTGTGACGCAAGGGGTGAGACTGGGTTATCAGGACTGGTTTGGAGTTCTGAAGATCTGAACTCAATAGCCATGGGGTTCAAAGAAGACTGAGGGTCACTGGTGGAAGTACTTTCAAACTCTTGCACATAAGGTCCCCATGTCAAGGGCTGTAAAGGCTTACTCACATAGCTATCATATTCCACATATTCCCCATATTCTTCATCTGAATTACCACAATCCGTATCCTGAGTCTCATGCTGGCTTCGTAAATGCATTTTATGTTGTTTACTTTGATGTGACTTTGGGTCAGGAGTAATCTCAACTGGCAAAAATCCACATGGTAATAGTAAGTCCCTGTGAAGCGTGCGCTGAGGGCCTTTTCCTGTCTCAGGCTTGACTACATACACAGGACCACCATCAATCCGTCTCACAACAACATGAATTGTTCTTTCCCATTTATCAGCTAACTTGTGTTTTCCTCGGATGTTGACATTTCTCACTAAGACACGATCTCCTTCTGCCAACTCAGCCGTTTTCACTTTGGCATCAAATCTGAGTTTGTTCCTTTCACCGGACTTCCTGGAGTTCTCTGCAGCCAGTGCATAGCTTTCTTTGAGTCGCTGGCGTAAGCTTTGGACATAATCTGAGTGTGTGGTATGGGTCTCAGTTGGAGGTTTCAAGCCAAGGATGAGATCAACTGGGAGAGTCGGCTGCCTACCGAACATCAGCTCGTACGGTGAGTAGCCCGTCGAATCATTCCTCGTACAATTGTACGCATGTACAACAGGCTTCACAAAATCTCGCCAATGATGTTTGTCCTTCTCCTCCAGAGTTCCGAGCATACTGATCAGGGTCCTGTTAAAGCGTTCCACAGGATTCCCCTGGGGATGGTACGGGGTGGTACGCACCTTGTCTGCTCCAATGAGTGAACACAGCTCCTTGATCGTGTGGGATTCAAAGTCGCGTCCTTGATCACTATGAAGACGGCTTGGGAACCCATAGTAGATAAGGAAGTTTTCCCATAAAGCTTTAGCAATTGTTCTGGCCTTTTGATCTTTCGTGGGCACAGCCACTGCAAACCGGGTGAAATGGTCAGTGATGACTAATATGTTTCTGGTGTCACGATTGTCAGGCTCTAGGGACAAGTAGTCCATGCAAACGAGCTCTAGAGGGTAGGTTGTCTTAATATTTACCATGGGTGCTGCTCTCTGTGGCTGACTTTTCCTCCGGAAACATCGTTCGCATGTGTGACATTTCCTTTCAACTGACTCTTTCATCTTTGGCCAGTAACATCTGGCACGGGCAAGACTGAAAACGCGCTCTGGCCCTAGGTGTCCAACGTCATCATGAAAGCCTTTAAGAGCTCTTTCTCTGTACATCTCAGGTAAGATCAGCTGATGAATTTTGTCACCTCTGTCAAAACCTTTCCTGTAAAGAACACCGTCAATGAGCTCAAGCCTATCCCATTCTCGAAGGAGCAACTTAACTTCAGGTGGCTCAGCCACTACAGCTTTGAAGTGAGGCTTTTGTCCTTGTTCCACTAGACCAATGACTCTCTGGATGGATGGATCATTTCTTTGTGCATTGTACCAGTTTTCCTTTGTCATTCCAGGTAAGGTGCTCTGCCCATTGCCTGTGAATAGTTCAGGTAAGGAAAAAGCATCAAGAACAAGAGATTCAGCAAGGACAGGTAAGTACGTGGTTACTGAATGCCGTTGACAAACAGCTGAGACTGCATCTTTTGGGATCTCCCCCTCTAGAAGGCGTTTTGTCATTGCCATTATCCGTTCCTTTTCCTCCAGGTAATCATGATCCTCTTGTGGAGCTGCCTGGGGTCTCCGTGACAACCCATCTGCATCACCATTGGTATTGCCTGCTCGATACTTGATGTTAAACTGGAAGGTCGAGAGAGCAGCTAGCCAGCGGTGTCCAGCTGCATCAAGCTTGGCGGATGAAAGGACATAAGTAAGGGGGTTGTTATCGGTTAGGACAGTAAAATCTGTACCATAGAGGTAATCACAAAACTTTTCACA